ATAAGAACTTCATAAACACATGGACATGAAATAGTACCCTACTGAACAACCAATGGGTCACAGATGAAATTAAATAAGAGGGGCTGGGGATTTAGCTCAGCAGCATAAGTGCCTGCCTTGCAAGCGCCTGGTCGTGAGTTCAATTCCTAGTACCAATAAAAAAAAAAAAGAAATTAAAGAAGAAATTAGTTTAATATAGTTGAATGACAATGACAATACAACATACCAGAACTTGCTGGACACAATGAAAGCAGTCTTAAGGAGGAACTTTACAGCAGTAAATATCCATATCAGGAAAACAGAACAAGCACACATAAACAACTTAATGTTTAACCTCAAAATTCTAGAAAAAGAAAAAGAACAGCAGGCTAAGTCAAAAGCTCATAGAAGGGAGGAAATTATAAAAATCAGAGCAGAAATTAACACATTGGAGACTTAAAAAAAATACAAAGAATCAATGAATTGAAGAGTTGGTTCTTTGAAAAATTAGATAAAAGTGGGGCTGGGGATTTAGCTCGGCAGCATAAGCACCTGCCTTGCAAGTAGGCCGTCGTGAGTTCGATTCCCGGTACCGATAAAAATGAAAAAGACAAAAAAAAAAAAAAAAAAAAAGAGAGAGAGAGAGAGAGAAATTAAATAAAATTGACAAACCCAAAAAAATTTTTAAAAAATGACAAATCCTTAGCTAACCTTATCAAAAAAGGAAACACTCAAATCTATGCAATTATAAACAAAAAGGGTAAAACCACAACAGGCCCTGCAGAAATCTAGAAAATCATCTATACCTACTTTGAAAACTTGTATTCTAGTAAGATGGAAAATATAGAAAAAATGGATTCCTAGATACATATGAATTACCAAAGCTGAGTCAAGAAGATATAAAAACCCTATATAACCTAATATCAATCAATGAAATCAAAGATGTAATTAAAAACCCATCAACAAAGAAAAGTCCAGGCCCTGACAAATTCACTGACACATTCTACAAGAAATTTAGAGAAGACCTAATACCACTTCTTCTCAAATTCTTTAATGAAATCAAAAGGGAAGCAATACTCCCAAATTCATTCTTGGAAGCAAGCATTACCCTGATATCAAAACCAGAGAAGGATCCAACTAAGAAAGAGAAGTATAAGCCCATTTCCCTAATAAACATTGATGCAAAAATCCTCAGTAAGAACCTGGCAAACAGACTGCAACAAATCATCAAGAAGATTGTACACCATGATCAAGTGGGATTCATCCCAGGAATGCAGGGACGGTTCAACATACGTAAATCTATAAGTGTAACACATCATATTAACAGAGCCAAGGACAAAAATCATATGATCATTTCAATAGATGCAGAAAAAGCTTTTGACAAAGTCCAGCACCCATTCATGATTTAAAAAAAAATACAGAAAATTGGAATAGATGGTCTTTATCTCAATCTGATAAAAGCCATTTATGACAAACCAAAAGTCATCATACTAAACAGACAAAAGTGAAAGCTTTCACTCTAAAATCAGGAACAAGACAAGGATGTCCATTGTCTCCACTCTTATTCAACAAAGTCCTGGAAACTTTAACTGGAGCAATTAGACCTAGAGAGAAAGAAATAAAAGACATAAAGATAGGAAAGGAAGAAGTTCAACTATTGTTATTTGCAGATGACATAATACTCTAAATAGAAGACAAAAACTCCACCAAAAGAGTAGTAAGTTTTAATAAGCAAATTCATTAATGTAGCTGGTTACAAAGTCAACACTCAAAAATCAGTAGCCTTGGGGGCTGGAGATTTAGCTCAGCAGCATAAGCGCCTGCCTTGCAAGCAGGCAGTCATGAGTTCGATCCCCGGTACCAATAAAAAAAGAAAAAGACAAAGAAAAAAAGATCAATAGCCTTCTTGTACATGAATAACAAACTGACTGAAAGAGATATTAGGAAAATAACACCTTCTACAATAGCATCCCCCAAAAATGAAATACTTAGGAATTAATCTAACAAAGGATGTAAAAGACCTGTACATTGAAAACTACAGTACTCTGAAAAGGAGATTGAAGAGGATATTAGAAAATGACAAGAGATCCCGTGCTCTTGTGTAGGAAGAACCAATCAATATAGTAAAATAGCCATAGTTCTAAAACTGTTATACAGATTCAGTGTAATCTCAATCAAAATTCCAATAGCATATTTCACAGAATTAGAGAAAATAATCCTAAAATCATCTGGAATCAGAAGAGACCTCTAATAGCAAAGACCATCCTGGGCAACAAAGACAAGACAGACAGTATCACAATTCCTGACTTGAAATTATACTATAAAGCTACTGTGATAAAAAGTGTGGTACTGGCAAAACAAAAAATCAGACCCAAAGATCAATGGAACAGATTAGAAGAAACAACTGCAGACACACTAAGCCACCTTATCTTTGACAAATGTGCCAAACACATTCACTGGAAGAAACATAGCCTCTTTAATAAGTGGTGCTGGAAAAACTGGCTTTACACATGCTGAAGATTAAACTGGACCCATATCTTTCACCATGTAACAAGCTAAAATCAAAATGGATAAAAGTTCTTAATATTAAAACAAATATTAAATCTGCTGGAAGATAGAGTAGGTAAAACTCTTGAAAATATTGCTGTAGGTTAAGACTTTGTGAACAAAACCCCAATTGCCCAGGAACTATCACAAAGAATCAACAACTGGGATCTCACCCTACTGAGAAGCTTTTGCACAGCAAGAGAAACCACCAACAGAGTGAAGAGACAACCCACAATGTGGGAGAAAATGTTTGCAGCTGTTCCTCACACCAAGAATTATTATCAAAAACCTATAAAGAACTCAAAAAATCAGTCCTCCTAGATTTAAAAGATCCAATCCAAAAATGGGCAGGGGAGATGAATATACACTTTCAGATGAAGAAATACGAACAGCAAATAAATATGTAAAAAAAAAATGTTCGGGGGCTGGGGATTTAGCTCAGCAGCATAAGCACCTGCCTTGCAAGCAGGCGTTCGTGAGTTCGATCCCCAGTACCGATAAAAATGAAAAAGACAAAAAAAATGTTCAACATCACTGGTCATTTGAGACACAAAACAATGCTGAGATTCCATCTCACGCCAGAAAGAATGGCTATTATCAAGAAATCAAGCAATAACAAATGCTGGAGGGGCTGTGAAAATCAGTGTGGCATTTCCTCAGAAAACTAGGACTAGAGATCCCATTCAACTCAGATTTCCCTTCTGGGTACCTTCCCAAAAGATACCACAGCAATGTATGTGCACTCATGTTTATAGCAGAAGAATTTGAAACAGCCAGATCTTGTAAACAACCTAAATGCCCAACGACTGAGGGAGGAATGGATAAAAAAAGATGTGGTATTTTTATACCATGGAGTACTACTCAGCCATAAATAAGGATAAAATGAAGTTTTTTTTGGGGGGGATTGAACTTATGACTGCACGCTTGTAAGGCAGGTGCTTATGCCACTGAGCTAAATCCCCAGCCCAAAATGGAGTTTTTTATAGGTAAATGGATCCAACTTGAGACCATACTCATTAGTGAAATAAGACACAGATGTGTAAACATATTGTCTCATTAGTGTGAGAAGCTGAAAGAAACAACATATGGATATGTATATAAAAAGTTAAGGTAGTTGTACCACTGATTTCTCTGAGTTCATTGAAGATAAAAATTTGTGCTAGTATTGTTCAGACAATTGAGTGCAGATGTCTTGCGCTCTAGGTGATTTGGGGATGACAATATGCAATGTATGTACCATTGTTGCTCCCTGATTGATGTGTTTTGAAATGTTGTTTTTCTTTTTCTCTTTGAAATAAAACGAATTTGGAAAGAAAGAAAAGTACATACCTATGGAAGAACAAAGACTAACCCCCTTGACACACAGGTTTTGCCTTTTTTTGATCAAATCCAGGGCCCTGCTTGTGCTGGGCAAGTCCTTTATCCTCCCACTCCAGTTTTCCTAGATTATATTCACTATGTTCATGTAAAATAGTCCTTTCAAACCGGGCATAAGTTAAGAGCCATAACAGTTAAATCAAGTTGCTAGATCTTAGAGATTAGGAAATTTTGTATTTGTATTTATTTACTTTTCAAGAAAAGGCCTTGGTATGCAATTCAGAGTGGCCATGAATTTATCACGTGGCCCAGGGTGGCCTTGAACTTGAGACGATCTTCCTCCCTTTGCCTCCAGAGTGCTGTGATTATAGGTGTGTGCCACTGATAGCTTATTCAAAAAACAGAACCAGTCAATCTATGCTCCAAATTAAAACAAAATTTTAGGGAACAGCCCTAAAATTTAAAGGGTTGCAGTTACATCATAAAGCTGGGACAAGTCATGGAAAGCAGAGATGAAAACCAGCCAGTCACAGTGGGCTGATCAAGGGCACTGCAAAGGAGGGAAAGACTACAGAGCTGTAAGGGAGACCTGGCTGCAGTCCTCCAGGCCCTGCTGTTGCCAAGATTAGGATTCAAGAGATATGAAGCAACGCCCCTTGAAGCCTTGGGAGAAAAATCCTGTTCACTTTAGAGATCAAATCTGTCACTGCTCATCAAGCAGCTACATGGAAATCACCTGGGAAAGGATCATGACCAATTGCCTCATAATCCCCCCCAACAGTGTTCTGGTGACTGGGGCGTATTCCCAGTCATTGTGCAGGTAACAACACCAGGAAGGAACCCTAACACTTCCCCATGCACATCCCACTTGTCAAATGACACTCCTTCCAGACAGTACACTCTGTCTGACCTGCAAGATAGCCCAAGTCTGAAAAGAAAACGGAAACAGAATAAAAGGCAGTTCCTAGCTTAATGAGAATATAATTGCACAACAACCTGTGACCTGAACAGAATTGGTGAGTGCAGCACAGGTAGGCGGGAAGATGCGCGTTTCACGGTCTAGCAAGTAGCTGGGCCGAGAGAATTCTCAGCCTCGGAAGCGATGCCATGCCAGGCGAGTCTCAGGGCAGGCAAAAGGCGTCGGCGTGGATACCCACCTGCGGGCGGGCCGCTGGGCACAGCCGGTGACTGCACGCTGTCCATGGTCTTCCCTACACTGGTCATCTTAACGAGGCGGCACGGCTGGGTCCTGGAAGGTACAATGTTACCAACGCTTGGCTCACGGCCGAGCGACGCGATCGACCCTGGCTCCCAGGTCTGGAAAAAGACTGCTCCACTCACAACTAGGCCACCCCTCCCTGCCCAAACCAGACCCTCGTCCTGGGAGATCCCAACCCGGGCGCCCACCGCTCCGGCGCGCAGTCCTTGTCGCTCGAGGTCAAAGGATGCTTGGCAACAACTGCCAAACTGCAGGTTGGCTCAGCCGCCTCCGTTTTAAAAAGAAACTTCCGGTGGCCCGGCGGAAGGGGGTGTGGCTCCCGCTCCGCAGACTGCCCTGCCGTACGGAAGACTATGTCCCTCACTGTTGCCCCGGGAGCCGCCATGCTGTACGGAAGGCTCCAGCGGCAGGCTCAAACCCCGGGCGGGGACTGGTGCCCTTGGCCGGCCTGAATGGAGCTAATGAGCCTCAGGACTAGGCTGCTGCCTGGGGACGCAAATGTGACCACGTTTGGTGTCTGTGTTACAATCCTCTTTATTTGGCCTGTGATTGTTACGGGCTACTTGCCAGGTGCCCAAGTTGTTTTTCTCTTTTTTAAAATTAGATATGTCGATACATAATTACATTAATCTTGGGGAACTGGTACATATGCATAGTTTTTGGGGGTTTTGTTTTGTTTTGTTTTGTTTTGTTTTGAGACAGAGCTCTCCCTATGTGATTCAGGCTGGTCTTGAACTGGCAGTGGTCTTCCTGCCTCAACTTCCCTGGGATTACCGATGTACACCACTACGCTGGGTTACATAATCAAATTTTAATCATTTTAACTTTCCCTTCTCTTCCCCACCTGGCCAGGATATTTGTATGAAAAGTACACTTACAAGGTGGAGGTGGATAGAGTCTTGAAGAAAAAGACCTATGGGTTGAACTAAGCCACTTAATCTGTGTGTCCTGATTTAGATAGAGATTTAAGACTATCCTACAATGTAGGGAAGAGTTCCCCATTATTTAATCCACCTATGTATTCATTTCTTCCATCAATATTTACTGAGGACTTCTGGGACATTTCTAAGTGGGTGGATATGGATGACAGCAAATATCAGGACTGACTTTGGCTCTGCCTTCCTAGAATTCACAATTGAGGAAACAGTAAACCACCATACTAATATATGTTTACCAATTATGGTAAAACTGCAGGAAAAGTACAAGTGCTCCTGAGTGCAATCCTAGCTGCTTGGGAGCCTGAGGCAGGAGAATTTCAAGTTCAAAGCAAGCCAGCTTGGATAGTGGGGAATTTATTAGAGATGGCTAAGTTAGATAAAAATTAATAGGCAGTCCAAGAGGGATTGGACTTGAGGGAGTGAGTATAGGGAAAGAGACATTAAAATTTGATTGAAGCCAAATTCCTGGAGATAAATGGCAGCCTGGTATTGTAGTATAATTAGCACATAGTCCAGTGGACCCAGTGAAGTACCTGGTGCATAGGTGAGTGACTAGAATACCCTAACCCATACTCCCATTCCTTCCAGCTGTGCCTTTGTTGTTTCTCTGTATGTGTGTGAGTGTGTGTGGTGAAGTGTCTCACTATGTAGTTCAGGTTGGTCTCAAACTCAGGGCAATTCTGTAATCCTCAGAAACACTCAGCCTCCTGAGTGCTAGAATTACAGCTCTGGGTTGGACACCTGGCTGCCTTTCTTCTTTCTATTTTATAAGTTTTAGATAAACTCAGGTTAATGATGCTCAACATATACCCTTGCTATGTGCTTTGATTCTCTGTTGGATCAATATTAGCTAAGCGACTAACAAGTAGTTTGACCCCTAGTAAGTTCTTGGGGGGAAAGGATGGCAAGGGAATGGGAACATAAAAAAACAGAGAGGAAAGCTGAGGTCAGGCAAACCCCTCTCTCCTGATGAGAGAAAAAGAACTTTTATTTACACACTCAAGAGGATCATGTTAATTTCAACCCCTTTGGCTAGCAGCCTGTTTGCCTGGCTGGCCTGGGCCCCTTGCCTTTTCAGAACTGGAACAGCTTGTTTACCTGACTCACTTTGGGCTCTTCCAGTTCTCAGAGCAGGCCTTGCTTTAGTCCCACATGTGTGATCAATCTCCAGTTTCAGCTGTTCCCTGCAACCCAAGTTGTAATCACATTGTGATTTTGCTGTAAGCAATGTGGCAAGACCCTTCCTCTCTCTCAGGAGTTTTCTCTCAATAAACTTTCCTGCTCTTTTTTTTTTTTTTTGTCTTTTTCGTTTTATTGGTACCAGGGATCGAACTCACTACTGCCTGCTTGCAAGGCAGGTGCTTATGCCACTGAGCTAAATCCCCAGACCCTCCTTTCCTGCTCTTAATGGCATGCGTGACACTGATGGTAATATGCTGAGCGTTACTTCCCAGTGACAGGACGGGGAAGAAGCAGGAAGATGTTGATCTTTCCCAAGCTTGAGTAATTACATGGCTAGACATTTTTTTTGTAGAGGATAGGTGGATGAATTGACATGGTATGCACACTTGAAATGCCTTTGAAACTGTTGTACACTAGAAAAAAGAGCTTTGTTATATTTGTATTATACCAAAATATCTGTAACGTGACCCTAACTGTTCTGTATATGTTTTTCTTCTCCCTTCTCCCTCTGGGTGACCTAATTGATATGTTAATCAATGCTCTCCTCTGAAAAGAACTGTAAATTCCTGCAAGACTTCTCTGCCCTCTCCTAAGGGCAGACCTTTGTTTTTTCCTCATTCCTTAGCAGATCAAGGATTTTCTCATTTCCTGATCCACGCTCATGACCTTTACTTTGTGAGCTGATATGTATTGAGGGGCAGCAAGTGTAAAAAGACAACACACACAGCTTTTGCAGTCTCCAACTGCACTGTGTCACTGGGCCCAGGATAAAATAAATCAGCGCTACTTTTTAAAATATGTTTTTGCACTGCTTGCTGTTTGCAGCTGCCATGAACTGTGGCCCAGCCATGCCCGCCTGCCTTGGAGCCAACTGAGTGTGGACTGAAACCTCCAAATACTACTGCAGTCCTTCCAGGGGGAGAACCGGCAGCAACTCCTGAGATCCGCGCCATGTTGGAACTTTTGACACTGTGAAACCAAACAACCAGCCTGCCTCCCTGCTAAGTGAACCTACTGGTGCACGGCCTAGAGTCAAACATCCCACTTCCCCTATCCCCTTTTCCTGTCCCCCCCATTAGCAAGTGGAAACCAGAAATCTGAGTGTCTCCTGGGAGGTTGACCATAGCAAATAAGGGGGACTTCCTTCTACCATCTCTTTGAAGGCAAATATTTTTATTACTGTTTTGGTCTATTCTGATTAATGATACTGCTCTATTCAATATTCTGTTTTGATAAGTTCTATAATGTTCTGTATTTCATCTCATTTTGATATACATTATTGAAAGAATAACTACTATAAAGATAACAAAATATACTGTGATACCTATTACTATTACCCTGGTAACCTGCTGTGAAGTTCTATACCAATTTCACTGTACGATCTTGGTTGGCTTTATTTTTTTTTTCCTACATGAGTCCAGATGAACTTAGTTGGCTTTATTCTGTCTTGTTCTGTTGTATTTTACCACTTTCAAAATAAAATTTTAAAAAATATGTTTTTGCCTCATTTTTTGAACTTGAGTTTGGGGGCTCATTTGTGGATTACAAGAGTTGGGGGCTCATCCAGGATTAATGGGGGAGTCCCCCAAATTATTTTTTCACCAATCAATCAGCTAACCATCTGTAAGTATTTGGCTTTTTTGCCTGTATGTAATCTGAGTATGCACATTTGTAACTGCAGATAAAATGAGACAACTTCTGGGGGCCTTTTTCCCCCTTTTGTATTTTAGGGCTTTTGGGGCCCATTCATAACTATGTTTGGGCTTTGGCCCATGTCGGGGTTTTTGCCCATTTGTAATTGGATGCGTGCAATGACTGCAGACGAGCTAGGGCTCCTTCTGCACCAGAATACAGGGGCTATTTCCTGTTTGTAATATGGGGTTACAGCCCATGTGTGTGGCTTTGGCCCGTTTGGGGCTTCAGCCCATGTGTGTGGTTTTGGCCCATTTGGGGCTTCAGCCCGTCCGTAACTTTGGGGCCTTTTGCCCATGTTTATTTATGCTCAGTGTTTTTGTACTTTGAAATTGTCTGCCTGTTTGAATCTGTTACTAACTTTGGGGATTTTTTTTTTGCCCATTTGAACTTGTTGAATTTGTTACTAACTTAGGGGCTCGTTGCCCATTTCTGCTGCAGGATCCATGTGGCTCATTGGACTCAAGGTTCATAATAAAAATTATTTCCTTTAGCTCATCAAACTGTGTACAAAACAACTTTTGTTTGTGTCTTTAATGTTGGCCTTGTTTTTTGTGGTGCCTTGTTTAATGTTTTAGTCCTAAATTGATTTACTTGCAACCTTGGCATGCCTTTTTTTAAAAAAATATTTTTCTTTCTGGTTAAAATGTGAACATATATGTATATTAATGGTTTTTAAAAATCATATTAACTTTACCAAGTAAAACCAGGTCATACTATAATTAAGCCAGTTAAAAAGGTTACAATTTTTTAAAAATGTAGCATTTTAATGTGGTAAAAAGACATAAAATGATTAAATATGTTTTAGACTACTAATAAGGTCACTTCAAGGATTTTGTTAAAGGTTTTAATGTTGTCTAAAAAGCAAGAGAAAGGGGCTGGGGATTTAGCTCAGCGGCATAAGCGCCTGCCTTGCAAGCAGGCAGTCGTGAGTTTGATCCCTGGTACCAATAAAAATGAAAAAGACAAATATATATATATATATATATATATATAAAAGGAAGAGAAAAAGTAATTGACTGGTAATAAAAAAAAAGGTGGTTTCGTCTTACAGTAAAAATATAAAAGAGAAAATGCTTTCTGTGGCATGGCTATTGTTGGGGACTCTTAGCCAGCTTTATGTTGCAAATCAAGAGCAAAGAGCCCAACAGGATACTCACAATACTGTGAGTTTGGGGGAGGGGAATTTCCAGGAATGTTACAGATTGTAAAGACAGAGTTGAGATTTTTGATTGCTGAAAAAAAAAAAAGAAAAAAAATTCGTCTTGTACTGGAAAAAGCCAATCTAAATTTAAAAGAAATAACTATTGTGCCTAATGTGATTGGTGATTATAGAGATAAAATACAAGTTCTTGCATGTGCTGTGGACATCTGCAGCGCAATTAATTTTGTTACCTATGAAAAAGCCCTTTTGGTTGGGGATTTAGCTCAGCAGCATAAGCGCCTGCCTTGCAAGCAGGTGGTCGTGAGTTCGATCCCCGGTACTGATAAAAAGAAAAAAGAAAAGTATAATATAAAAAAAAAAAAGCCCTTTTTTGTGAGGTATATAATTTCAGTAAAACAATGGCCTGCCACGTGGCACCTTGGGACAAAAAAAAAAAAAAAAAAAACAGTATGCCAACCAGATGAAGCCTACGCT